GTATGGCTGTGTGATTTTTGTGTATTTTAATTATGTGTACTGTTGTTTAGTTCCCTTTCCCCTTTGAGTTGTTCGCCACCCTGAGTCCCTCCTGGAGAAGGGCGGCATACAAATAAACTTAAAAAAAAATTTTTTTTCCTTCCAAAGAGAAGAATTCCGTTAACGATACAAAGATAAAGCCACTGTCCCATTTTACACTGTATTTTCTGAACTTTCCATCCAGAAGCTTCCTCTCTGCCATTGGCAGAAATCCACCAGCCCTTAAATAGGTTTTACAGGAACCTCAGGAAAGGTTTTAGATTCCTGAGTTGCTTAGAATTTGTCAACTAACAGAAATTTAGCCTCTTGATGAACTGTCTGACAGTGACATACATTTACCTCGGCATTTTGAATATTGTCCATGTTGTGTATTTTGGGAAAGAAAAGTGCTGCTTGATCCTTTTCCCCAGAAAATTACAAAAAAAGAGAACAGTATAATGTTGAATAGGCATATAGGAGTGGGAGGAGAAGAGATTCAGCCTGTATCAATAACATTTTACCAAGTGTAATAATTCTTGTAACATTAAGAGGAAGTTTTCATGCTGACCTTTTATTTTCATAATTGCAACACACTTGTTTTTCTCCCCCATCATATCTGTGTTGGCTCCTCCTTTGAGTAGAAGCTCCTCCCAGCTGAAGTTTGGTCCCAGAGCCTGCAGACTTCGCCATCTTCAAATGCAAGAGGGTAAATATACCTGATTTGTTGCAGTGAATCTAGCAACAGCTAACATAATTACATGTGGGTTGCACAGATCCAGGGAACCATTAGATGGCAGCAAAGAAATAGCATTTTCTATGCCTGGTTACTACCAACAAGTGACCCTAGTTGCTACCAGCAGCTTATCAGTTCTGAAGTAGTAGTTTACTTCTAGTTTTTCCCCTACCCCAAGATAAGAATGGAATAAATCCTCCCTCCTTGAAATACCTTTTTCCCTAAAAAGGCAGCAAAAGAACAGAAGGGGAACTCATCAAATTTTCTGATGACACTAAACTAGCAAGAATAGCTAACACCCTAGATCAGTGGTCCCCAACCCCCGGTCCGCGGACCGGTGCCGGGCCGCGCGGACCGG